GAAGTAATACAGAATTACATACTTCCCGCAATGACTGTAATCCTTACATATTGTGAAAATGTTTCAATAAAAATATTTTTAGGGGGCTGGGGATTTAGCTCAGCAGCAAAAGCGCCTGCCTGGCAAGCACAAGGTCATGAGTTCGGTTCCCAGTACCGGAGAAAACACCAAAAAAAAAAAAAAATTTTAAATTAGAAAAGAGCTTTGTGCAGTGGCAGTATCATAGCCAATGAGGTTTTTGCGAGACGCGATTATTGCTAATTAAATTTTAAAAAAGAAAATACAGAGATACAGATATATCTGCACACATTGGGAGGCTGAGGCAGGAGGATCGCTGTAAATTTGAGGCCCTTCTTAAAAGACCCTGTCTTAAAAGAAAAAAAAGAAAGGAAAAGGGCTTTCTTCTGCACACAGAAGAAAGCCCATGTGAGCACACAGAAAGCTGCAAAAAAAAAAAGGAGGAGAAGAGCTGGGCATGGTGGCGCATGCCTATAATCCCAGCACTTGGGAGGCTGAGGCAGGAGGATCGTTGCAAGTTCAAGACCAGCCTGGGCTACAAAGTGAGCTCAAGGTCAGCCTGAAGTGCACAGTGAGACCCTGTCTCAAAAGGAAAAAAAAAAAAGAGAAGAAAGCAGCTTTCTGCCTGCCAAGGAGACTGCTGCTGCAGAAACCAAACCTGTTGATATCTTAATGTTGGACTTCTAGCCTCCAGAACCAGGGAAAAATGAACTTCCGTTTTAAAAGGACCTACCCTATGATATTTTCATATGGAAACCCTAACAAAGCTATTATTTTTAATTATTTTATTTTTTGCTTTTTTGAGGTATGGTGTCTTACTGCATAGCTCACAACATGCAGTGATCCTGCGGCCTTGACCTCCTGAGTGCTGGGAATATAGAAATTCACCACCATGTCTGGCTATTTTTATTTTCAAATTTAACTAAGGGGAATTTGTTTATAATACAGTTTATCCATTGTAAGTACATAGATCTATAAGCATTGTCAAATACATATACCCACAGGCTAGGTGTGGTGGCGCACCCCTGTAATCCCACACATGGAAGGCTGAGACAGAAGGATTGCCATGAGTTCCAGCTCAGCCTAGGCCACATAGTGAGTCCAAGAACAGCCTCAACTACATAGTGAATCCCTGTCTCAAAAAAAAAACCAAAAACCATACTCCCACGAAACCAAACTATTTCTATAACTGGAAAGTTTTCCTTTTCTCTACAGTTAATAGAGAAAACAGGCAACCGTTAATTTGCCTTCTGTCACTAGAGATTTTTTTATATGGTCCAAAATTTCATATAAATTAAGTAATATGATACTCTCTTTTTGTATCTGGTTGCTTTTACTAAGTACACAGTTGTACATTCCCATGTTTCTTATCATATAATTTGTTCCTTTTTTCTTTCCTTCTCTATGTCTGTCACATCCATTTAGCTAGAAATGTCTTGAGCTTATCCTTCTTTATGGCAGAGCAGTACTCCATTGTACATTTTATCCATTGGAGGGGCTTTTAGGCTGTTTCCAAGATTTAGCTATTACAAACTGTGTTGCTATAAACATGGGTGTGCATATATCACTGTGATGTGATGCTTTTAATTCTTTCAGGAAGATACCTAGGAGAATAGCTGAGTCAAATGGAACATCTAGTGTTAGTTTTTGTGAGGAATCTCCACAGTGATTTCCACGTGGTTGTACCAGTCTGCATTCTCACTAACAGTGGAGAAGGGTTCCTTTTTCCCCACAGCACCACCAGCATTTGTTATTGGTTGATTTCCTGATCATAGCAGTTCTTTCTAGAATGAGATGGAATTCTCAGCATTATTTTAATTTGCATCTCTCGAATGACCAGTGATACTGAACATTTTTCATATATTTACTTGCTGTTTCTACTTCTTCATCTGAAAAGTGTTTATTCATTTCAGATACTTACTTTTGAGTGGGTGTTTAAATTTGGGGACTCTGATTTTTTTTTAGTTCTTTATATATTCTACTATTAGTCCTTTGAGGAACAGCAAGCAAAAATTTTTCCCCACATTGTCGATTGTCTCTTCACGCTGTTGGTGGTTTCTTTTACTGTGTAAAAGCTTTTATTTATTTATTTATTTTTGTCTTTTTGAGACAGGGTCTCGCTATGCAGTTCAGGCTGGCCTTGAGCTCACTGTGTAGCCCAGGCTGGCCTCAAACTCATAATGATCCTCCTGCCTCAGCCTCCCGAGTGCTGGGATTACAGGCCTGCGCCACCACGCCCGGCTTGTAAAAGCTTTTAATACCATGAGATCCTAGTTGTTGATTCTTTCTGATAGTGCCTGTATGATTGAGATTTTGTTCATAAAGTCTTTACCTCCACCAGTATCTTCTAGAGTTCTACCTGATTTTAGAGAAAGCTTTCAGTTTTTGTCCATTTAGTAGGATATTGGCTGTTGGTTTGTCATAGATGGCTTTTATCATATTGAGATAAAGACCATCTATTTGAAGTTTCTATAGGGTTTTTATAATGAATGGTGTTGGACTTTGCCAAACACTTTTTCTGTGTCTATTGAGATGATCATGTGATTTTTGTCCTTGGCTTTGTTAATATGGTATA